GTTTCCTTGGGCTACGATTAATGTCTGTAGCCTGCCTAGAGCGACGTGTGTTCAGTGCATCAGGTTCGCTCCCCGGCACTCATCTTGGAGGCTGAAGCGTTGCTTGGGCGCCACGCCGGTGATGGCACATCAGATCCGCGCTGAGTAGCAGCCGCGGCAGGGGGCTCGTGCTGTTTGTTTAAGTGCCGGTTATGGTGACCTGGGTGATTGTGGATGGAGCTGCCTGGCTCGTTGAGGAAGTTAAATGACTTTTAATAGTTTAGCCATGATTTAGCCACGAGGGGTCAGAGGGACTTAGAGAGGCGGAGCAGGAGTGGGGTTTAGGTAGGCTGATTTGTGGTGATGGAGCTTTCTTTGTTCGTGGGCCGAAGCTGTCAGTCTCTTCCATGCTGTATCTGGTCCTTGGGCCTGGGTAGTGGTTTAACTGGGGGCTCATGGCCTGGATCACCCCAGAAGGTATCAGAGAAACCCTTGATCCCATGGAGGCTAGCTCCATGGGTGTCTTCCCAACCTTTGAACTTCCCCTGCCTCTTGGTATAAGGGCACATCAGGGGCCTTTCGGGGCATGGGTCAGATGGATAGGTGAAGGTGTAGTGGGGTCAGTGGGGTAATTGGGGGGCTGCCCCTTGACAGCCTGCATTGATGGCCCAGGCAGGAGGTCTTGACTCAAAGACTTGATGCCCGCTGTGATGTGTGTGGTGTTGAATGGCGCGGAGGATGGAGCCCAAAGGGACCAATTCTGCTCTCAGTGAGACCTGGGCCCCTCTGACGCTCAGAGATGTATGGGAGTTGGTGGGTAAAGTATTTGGCCCGCACAGCATGGACGAGCATGCAGCCACGGCATGGCTCCGCCGAGCCGGACCCGCAGGGGACATTCACACAACATGTCTGTTAAGAGACGGGAGCCCCAGGCCGCTCACGGGTGGCTGATGAAGCACGTATGACATCGACAGCATCTGCAAGGGGCAAATCCATCCCGGGGCACGGTCTCCCTGGAGCGACACCACAAGCTTCATCATGGGCTGCCCAGACCCTGTGTTGCGATGGGGACTGGGATCAAAGCCACCTGGCAGGCTGGGTCCCGGAGGAGACGAGGTGGCTGGGATTCCTCCCCAGCCCTGTAAGCATCTCTCCACATGGCTGGAGGGACGGGGTTGGAGAGATGGGGCTGGCTGGTGCCAGAAGCAACGGGCGATGCAGAGCCGAGAGGCACGTGGGGAATGCTGTTGGCACAGACGGTGTCTTCCTCGGTGAGTTGTGAGGTTTGAGATGAGAATTGCAGCCAGCGAGTGCACCGGCCCCATTCCCCCTCCCCACGCTGACGGGGGCTCTGCAGAGATTTCTATCTGCTGCAGCCGGGGGAAAGCAATTCAAATGCAGGGGCTGGGAGCTATGCAGGCATCAGCGACCGTACAGCGAGTGCAGCCGGGAAGCCGTGAGCCCAGCGCGGCGACAGCAACGGCCTTCTGAGACGCACGGTGGGGGAGAGAGCGGTCTGACGTAACACGTCTGGAAGCAAGGCGCTATCTCGACTCCTGCTCCGAGGGTGAGTTTAGGGTCCTGAGTGCCCACAGAATATTTTCTTAGGGAAAGGAAGCATTCGAATCCACTCTGGAGCCTTTTGGTCTCAGAACTGCAGCAAAGCAAACCCCATCAGAGAGGACTTGCTGGTTCATTTGTTTTTTTAAATCTCCCTGAACCCTGATTCGGAGCGTCTTTCCTGCTCAGGCGCTGTGCAGACACAGCAGAGAGACTGTCCCAGCTCATAGATGCCCTTCTGGTTTTTGTTGTTGTTGTGTATCCATCACACCCATTGTGCACCAGTCATTGCCAGGGGCAGCCTCCGCGTGTACTTTGTGGGGCAGATAGAGTTTCCTTTTAACTCGACAGGCTGCGATGAAGAAGCAGCGTTAAGAGTTGTGATTAACAGCCCAGCACTGGAGTTGACGCTTTTTCTGAAAAGCAGAAGGCAGGGTAGATTTGCACCTTATAGACTAATTAAATCGGAGATATGTATCAGAATTGCTTGATAAAAGGGGGTTTCTGTCACTGCCGACAGCTTCCCCGTGAACAGTGAAATGCAGGGCCCTTGTGTGCCCTCTCCTATGCCCACTGATCGCAGGGCACCTCCTTAATGTTATTTCCCTGCTCGCTTGCATCTACATTGTGCAAACCTGCTGAGTCAAATGCCCGCCTGTGCCAGAATCACCAGCTGGCCCGGGTTACCCTGGTGGCTTTCACTTGCCTATTGACAAAATGTCCATCAGTTGGCACTTCCCCCGGAGAAGGGCAATGCACCGGCAAACACTGGGATGATTTACTGGGTGTTGGTTAATCTCTACATCCTTGTATCATCTTCCTTCCTTATTTGCGAGGCTCTGTTTCACACATACACACACATGCATGTATGCACACATGGGTGTATACTTACGTGCACATACACATGCATGCACGAGCTAGAACAAATCTGGATGTCTGATGCAGGATCTCTTGTAGGCTGATGTTGGACTGCTTTCCTTCGTTATTGCCCTGTGGCTTTCCATGGGTCGCGGGTCAGCATTTGAGCAGAATAGGTAGAGGATCTATCCTTTTATTTTCTCCCTTTATAGGCAAGCCTCAGTGAAGCTGAAATAATAAAGGATTTGCTTGCCCTATGCTGTGTCTATTTGAGTGGTGGGGGTGCTTTGCAGCGACCTGCTTTTGTGTTACTCCAGCTCCCTAAATGGCTTGAAGAGGGGGAGCAAATCCTTGCGGAAATCAGGAATACAAATAAATTGCACAGGTACCCAGAGGTGTGTGTTGTTCCCACTCTTGTGGAGCCCAAGTACATGTCAGGGCTGTCTGAGCCGCCTCTCTGTGTTCCCGGCCCTCTGCTCCTATCTGCACGGCGCCGGGCCATTTTCCAGGCCCGCGCTGTGGCCTTTGCACCCCACTTGAGCGGCCCTCTCCAGCGGGGTGATACCTGCAAGGCTGGTGGATGTAGCTGCAGGTGTGATTTCAACCTGCTGTGAATCAAAGTGCTCCAGAGCAGCCCAGACCTTGTGTGGCTAAATCCCAGTTGCCATTTCCAATTTGACTTTCCCAAGTTAACAGCTGTTTCTCCTGCGGTGAACCACTCACGCCCTTGAGCCATCCGGCCGCCAGTCACGCCACTTCCAATAGTGCCTGTTTCCTATGAAAAGAGACGGGTTGTCCCTGACTCTAGTCTCTGGAAGGAGCTTGCAAAAAAAAAAAGGGGGCCCAGGAACTGCTTGGGAACAAGCTCCTTAAGTGAGAATCGGAGGGCTGGGAGGGATATTGCAGGACACCTCGTCCAAGCCCTGGCACCAGTGCGGGATTGCACTCAACGAGCTGGTTTCTGGAGGATGCGCACTTTTTGGTCTCGAATGACCCAGTAGTCCAAAACAAAGGTCACGTTATTGCTGTTAGTGATAGATGTGGTTTTGTATACGGCTCGTCTCTGTGCTCACGTTATTCTGGTGCAGGCACCGGCTCTCTACTGGCACGGTAGGGTATAACCATCCCTTGGTCTCTCCCGTTGTTCCTTCTGCCAGAACAACACCATTTTTCACGTGATGCCTGATTTGGCTTAATGGAGACCTGACAGTGGGCAGGTGAATATTGACCCACTGCCACTGTACGCAGGAGACTGCTGTTGATCCACATCAGCCTTGCTTTTAGCCCAGGAGGGGCACATATTGGCACAGCAGGCCCTCCACAGGGCACTCTATTTGAGCTGGTGGGTGTCTGGAAAGAAAAGATGAATGGGAAGAGGTCATTTCAGTCGGTCTACGACTGCGTTTCCAGAGGAGCGAGTCTAGCGGTCCTGTGTCATTACCTGAGCACATGGCAGATTACATCGCATTATCTTCATAAGTGTTGCTTACAAGTGTTTGGCAGGGCTGTCCGCAGGGAAAGCTCAAGGAAAGAGGAAATGAATGTCGAACTTGTGAAAGCAGAAAAATTGTGAGAGTGTTTTTTTTAACGAGACATGCCTACTTCCTTGAAAAGGCCACGCTATTTTGGTGAATTGTTGTTTACCAGAATGCTTCGTTTCTTTTTTTTATTGTCCAAACTTCGCGCTTCAACATTTTCAGAGCAGAAGACACCTATTCTTATTTTGGAGTGATTGTTTTCTTTTAAAAAAACAAAAGCCATGGTGTTTTCTAGCTAGAGAAACGACCCACCATTGAAAACAGGGATGACATATTTGGACTTGCATTGAAGTAAAACGCTTTGAACCAAAACACTTTTTGTTTCTTGGAGAAGATCGGTGTGTTTTGCTTTCATGCTTTTCTGAACAGAGAAAAAATAAGATCATGGGACCTTTTTTTTTAAAACAAAATGGATAATACATTTCCTTGTGTGCTCCAGAATAGTGGGTTATATAGTGGGCACTTGGATTTGCTATTCCCTGAATACTCTTACCCACAGGTGTTTCTGTGCTGGCGTGTTTGCATGTTACCTCTGCTCTGGAGGAAATCAATATTCTGCCTCTTTCCCCTCCTTTGCTTTTTGGGGAAGAAACTTAGACCCCAATATTTTAACCCCTCTTTTTTCCTTGTCCTTTATTTAAATGAAAACGGTAACATTTTCCTTCTTGCAACTGACTGTAGTGACAGGCGGAAGCTACAACACAGCGTCTTAGTTGTGCAAAACCCAGTGTCACGTACTTGTTAGAGAGGCTGTTTGAACCAAAATCTTTCTGTATGAACAGGATCTCGAGCCCCTTGTTTTTAGATCTATGGAAGAATTAGCATTGCAGGCTTCATTTCAGTACAGCTTTAAATTACATATTTATGTGCCAAAGTGAGATTTATGGTAGATTAGAGTGACAGAAAGCACAGCAGTGCTATCTGTATGTTCAGTGGGACAATATCATGGCTGGCATGGATTTCCTGGACTCTCTCTCAAAATATCAGTGCCTCCTTCTCGATCAGGTTATTTTGCTGGTGACTTATTGACTCTTGTTTCTTTTTCCAGATTGCCTCGATTCAGCGATGACAGATACAGTGTTCGGCAACAGTACTGATCGGTGGATGTGTCCAAACGACAGAGCAATGTCTCTCCGAGCCAAGTAAGGGGATACTTGCCTTTTTGGGGGGTCAGTCTAGAAACGTTCATGGCTTAGAGAAACATATTGCTGAAGAAATGAATCAGAAGGATACAATGAAATGGGATTCCTGTGCTGCTTTATGGGGTATATTCTGTTTTTAGTCTGTCAAGGCAGAGCTTGTATTAAGCATATCACCCTGGCATCCTTGTGAGATTAACGGTGCCCTTCTGGATTTGCACCTTGTGAGATTGATGGTGCCCTTCTGGATTTGCACCCATACTACTAGGGTGAGAACGTGGCCCTCTCTGTGCTGAGGTGTCTGGGAAAATCTCCCTCCGTTGCTAGCAGCCTGGTTACTGGTGTTCTGGCTTTATTGAGCACCACGTTTCAATGCATCTAAACAGCTCTGAACAACATTCGTTAACTTTATTTATTAAGCTTTGGTAAATAATGCACTGATCCATTTGCTGTGGAATGAAATCCAAGTAATTTTAATTAATATGTATTTGCAATGTCTCCCTTAGAACTGTAGAAATGATTGGCTTCTCTAGTGTCTATATTTCATAGATGTTAGTGGGGCTGACTGTACTGTGTAGCAAATTCATTGATCAAAGAGTCATGCAAGAGACATCGTTGAACACACTTGATTTTTCATTTCCTCGGGGAAAAATGTTACTCTCGTTCTGTTGTCAAAAGAAAATGGTGAATGGGTTTAATCGCAGCTTTCCTCAGACTAGGATAGCCCTGGTCAAAATTTCTTTCCAAGACCAACTTGGCCTGGCTAGCCAAGTTGTTTTGAAGCATTAAAAAAGTGAGTTGATAACTGAAATGCTGATTCATGCTACATTTTTCACGTTGAAAAAGTCCAGCTAGAAGAACAGTGTGGATAACTTGGTAATAACTAGGGTAGATTTTGGGGGGAACTTTATCATGGAAAAGTCTTACTGCAGTCAAAAGACCAGCCTCTGCAAGGACAGAAAGGTTTGCTTAGAGACAATAATGAATGGGAAATGAAGATACTGGGAGGAACAGTCTATATCTTGCCTCTCCTTTTGGAGTTTTACTTTACTTCTCATGCAGGAGGAGTCCTTCAATTGCTGTTATTTGCTTCGTACCGTTCTAGTCCCTCCAGACCTCAGTGGGCGATCGGGACAGTGTGGCATGAGCACCTATACACCCACGTCACAAAGATTTGTCCTGACCCATAAGCATAGGTGATGAGTCCGGATCCTGCCAGCGGTTATGCACAGCTAGCATCCTGAGACCCTCTTAGACCACTTTAAAGGCAATAGGGCATAGCATGCTGCCCAAATGCGATGAATTGCAGGCCCGGGGCCTTGTCACATCACAAGAGACAAGCGGGTGATACAGTAAGCAAATGGGGAAGGCAGCGGAAAGCAAGGTAGCAGTGAACCTATTGGTCACATTAGCAGTAGGCAGTTATGTGATGTGTTTGGACCATTGAAAAGTGGGCTCTTGGGTCCCTCATTGCAATGTCCCTCCTTCCCACAGCCTTCACTCAGGCCAAAGCCTCCCACGTGTTCCTCGTGCACTTGAAATTTTGCCTGTTCCTGGAGCCGAGGGTGGCCGAGGGTTACAGTAGGGCTGGGGTGCATGGTAATGGCTGGAGATGGGGCTATGGCTCCTAATGGCCTTGACCTAAAGTCTTCCAAACCTGGGAGCTGTCTCTGGAGAGAGACAAGTTGTCTGTATCAAATCACCAACAAAACCAAAAGCTGCTGCAAGGAGCTGTTGCCATTGCTTGTCTCACCTAATCTTGACTCCTCCTTTCTCTCTCCCTCTCTCTTTGTGCCATCCTGCAGTGAAAAGGAGCAGTAAGTATCCTGCTTGCTTTTTTTGGCCTGTTGTATTTTGCTTGCTACCGGAGGCATTTTGGGGGGCTTTGGGAGGGAAGGCATTGAAAACCCACTGCAAAAACTGCTCAGATGTTTTGAACAACTTGGGTATTTTCCCCACGACTTTGGCAGCCTTCCCAGATGCCTCTGCTTTGTCCTGCCATTCACCAGCTATTGAGCAGAATTGCAGACTATAATGTGCATGTCCTGCATCCCCAGATGCTTAAATATTTAAGTGCTAATGACCCTATTAAAGAAGAGGTAGAGAAACGAACAGGCAGAGACGACGGAGAAAAGAGAGGCCTTCAGATAAGGCTTGCAAAGAGATGACAGGCTGGTCCTCGGGTGGGTGTCAGTTGACATAGCCTCGTGGATGCCAAGAAAGTCCTGTGTCAATGCACACCACCCGAGAGAGCTGAGGAGAGAAAGATAAAGAACCTGCTCCCAATGGTGTGAGCTGCAGAGGAGCAATCGCGTGGCTGGATGGGGAACGGGCCAAGGCTGAATGAGTGGAGAGATTGATTTAAGCAGGTTTGAGGGGTTTGGTTTCCTATCCTCCTCCTCCTCCTCCCGAAAACTGATCTGAGCTGCTTTGACTCTGCTGCAAGAAACGCTGATTTGGAAAGGATCTCTGTCTTCTCGCGCGATTGTCTTGCCCCTTTCTGTCTGAAACCTGGGCAAGCCATTCTGACCTAGCTGAGCTCAATCTTTTTACCTGTGCCCATGCAAGCGCACAATGCCCCTCACGTCAGTGGGGAGATGCCGCTTTATACTGGTGAAACAGCTGAATTTGGAATGAGAAACATCATATTTATCCTTGACAAGGACTCTGATGCTTCAAGGAGCAGCTGTCTCTGTTACATTGCTGATCCCTTGCAGTATAACCTCTGATTTACCCACCTTTATGGGCCGATGCTGATGGGAGCTGACACCAAAAGTGGCCTGTGGCTTTTGAGGCACAATATTTCTTGCCCTTTAGTCACATGAAGTGCCTCTTCTTGTACTGCACTGCCATCTTTATCGGGTGCCTGGGCTAGCATGGGGCTGGCCAGCTTGGGTACTGGTAGGAGTCCAGTCCTGGCACTGCAGAGCTCCTTGCATCCTGCAAAACCCTGTGCAGCAGAGCTGGTACCTGGTCACTGAGCCCAAGCGGAGATCCCTGCGGACACAGCTAGACGGCGAGTCAGCTTAACGAGCCCGTGGGCGTGTGGACACAATTCGGCAGTCACAGTCATGACTGCAGCCTGCGTGGTCCCTTTGCCCCTTCCTGGCTTCCCCCTCATCGCTGAGTGGGTAAGTGGAGGTGGTCAGTGTTTGCGCGTGTAACACTGCTGGTGTAAATGTAGGCCGGGGTACCAGCAGGACCCCTAGCATAGCTTTCCTTCCCAGCCAGTGTAGGAAGCATCTCCTGATGCAACAAAAGCAAAGCCACCGAAAGGACCCTTCCTTTGCTGGCAATGCATCCATACCACGTGTTTTGCTGGCACCTCTCTGCCCCGTAGAGATCTCGGGGGGTGGTTTCACACCCTTAGCTATGCTGGGAAAACTTTGTAGAGAGATTCGGCCTCGGGCTCGGTGAAGGGGACCTGCGAGGCCTGTACGGAGGTAGATAACCACCTTATCTGCGGGTAGGTGAATTCTGAGCAACGTATTAGGAGTGAGAATCAGCAGATGTCTGCCCTAGTGCGGAGGAGACAGGCAGGATTAATGGCTTTGTCTGGAGCGCTCCTGTCAGTCAGGGCCAAGACGCTGGAGGCGAGACAGGAGTTAACGAATATGAATTTTTCCTACCAAGCGCATGTTGTTTGGGAGGCTGGTAAGTTCACGCTCATTTTCCTCTAACAATGGCATTTGTAATTCTCCGTTTTTGCGGCTGCCTGGCCCTGTCGGCCCTACCGCGAGGTGGTTACATTGCTTTGATTTACCAGGTACTGGAGCAGAGAATATGCAGAGTTGGTGTAATTGAAGTCTCTCCCTGGTCCCCTCCTCACCGGCCTGATTAGTGCTCCATTTCTCACAAGGATTTTAGCTAGTTCACCGCACGTTGCTGGAAATGGGGGGGTGGGGGAGATGTTTGGTGGATCACAGACTTGCACAGGCTTCGAATCTTAGAAACCAGGGTCAGATCACATCACGGTGCCCTCAGCAGGGGTCTGTTTCATTAGCAGAGAAGTTCGGCGCTATAATGATAGCGTCGCATAAGCTGAAGACTTAAAACAGAAGAGAGAGAGATGCCCGTTGGTCAGGAACGGCATGATTTCTTTCTGCATAAGGACCGTGCCGCTGATACTGTACAGCACAAAGCTGCCGATCCCATTGGTATCTGAGGCAGAGACCGTGGTAACTCAGCAAGATCGTGGAGGGAGCGTTTATATAAGAAATAGCTGTTGCTCAGTTGCAAAATCCCCATGGGCCTCCACGGGCAGGGAGAGCGCATGCATGGTCTGTGCTGCTGCTAGCTCCCTGTCTGCCCTGGGCGGCTATCCCTGTGGACCGAAGGCAGCTCAGCAAGCCAAACCCATCTGCTGCGCTTTCTTGGAGCTGCATGGGGAAAGGGAGAGTCGTAGCAAGCGTTAAGGCTGGGGAAGGGTCTTGTCTGGGCCGTGGTGGCCAGTCAATTAGAAATGCTCACACAGTTCAGTCCCTTTCACTTTCAAGAAGGTGGCGGCAGGTTGGCACGTGGTCCTGGTCCTCTGGGATCTAAACACCCCCGAAGCTTGGTATCCAGAGCCAGACCTGAGCCTTGTGATGTGACTCCGGTCTCTCCTGTTGTGCCGAAGCAACCCCCGCCCGGTCTGGATGCCTCTGGACTTTGATGATGTTCAGCTCAAGCTCCAGACTTGTGTGATTCTGCTAGGACGTGGGTGAATCTCCTTTGCTGGAGGGCTTTAAAGAGCGACTTAGACAGCTATCGGTAGGAGCTGACTCTACCTTGGGGCAGGAGGATGGACGAGATGGCCTGTCAAGGTCCCTTCCATGCCTATGGTCCGTGATCCTACAGGTAGCTTCCGCAGGCCCAGGTAGTCATTGCTGCGCTTCAGGATCCAGTCAGATCTGCTGGTGTCCGGATGGAGCTTAAGGGGTCAGCATCCACAAATGTCTTGGGACCAACCCGGCCGAGAGACTGCCGTTTCCTCACGCCGCGTTGCCGTAGCCACCGTGGGC